TTTAAAATGCAATTATATAAGATAAAGAAGAAAAAAGGAGACATTTTAGGTGGGTGTTGTATGAGAAATTTATATGGGAAAAATAAGAAAAGTAGAAAAATCTCTACTCAAAAAGAGAAAATAGGAAAGAAATAAAAAAGAAAGAGTGGGCTCAGTGGCTGTAGCTCAGCAGCTAGGGTGCCAGCCACACACACTGGAGCTTGCAGTTCAAATCCAGCCCAGGCCTGCCAAACAACAACAACTACAACCAAAAAATAGCTGGGCATTGTGGTGGGCACCTGTAGTCCCAGCTACTTGGGAGGCGGAGGCAAGTAAATCACTTAAGTCCAAGAGTTTGAGGTTGCAGTGAGCTGTGACATTACGGCACTCTACCCAGGGCAACAGCTTGAGACTCAGTCTCAAAAAAAAAGAAAAAAAGAAAGAAAGAAAGAGTGAATAAAGGGGACTAAAAAACAGTATCAAAAATGGAAGACTGGCTCAGCACAGTGGTTATAGCACCAGCCACATGCACCGAACATGATAGGTTCAAGCCCAGCCTGGGCCAGCTAAATAATAATGACAACTGCAACAAGAAAATAGCCGGACATCATGGCGGGTGCCTGTAGTCCCAGCTACTTTGGAGGCTGAGGCAAGAGAATCACTTAAGCCCAACAGTTTGAGGTTGCTGTGAGCTGTTATGCTAGGGTACTCTACTGAGGGCAACATAATGAGACTCTGTTTCAATTAAAAAAAAAAAAGGAAGATTGCTTGCTATTGAAGAAATTAAAAATGAAAATACAACCAATAAAAAAAAAGAAAATGAAAAACCCCAAAGATATGTATAACTATATATATGTTATATTGCCTAGACACCAAGTGGCACTATCATGTTAGGAGACAGCAAACATATGCTGGGTGAGTGCCAGAAGCCGACCCCCAGTTGCAGAGGAGATCGGGTCCTGTCTTCCTAACTTAGTTACCCACAATCAGGTCCTGGTTGTTTTGTCAGCAGTCAGTTCCCATGGGATTGGGGTCCTAATGCTCTTGCCAGATTCCTTAGGAGACACATCACATAGTACCCTCTAACAACAATTTCCAGGATGCTCAGCTCACCCCAAGAGTGAATGCCCAAGCTCAGAAGGCACCAGAATTGGCCATGTCCTAGGACTCTGCAGACCGTTTCTCCCACATGGCCTTCCCACAATGGCAGCACATAGCTACGAGCCAAGCCAATAGGGGATGCACCCCACCTGGTATTCAGTCTCGGCTATTGGACACTGTTTTAGTGCACCCACTCATTTAAGCCCTCCAGTAAGTAGATCATCCCTGAATCAAAAAGCTGCAGGACAACCCTTTCTTGTCTCCAGTCCTCTGGACTGGCTGGCCGGTTGTTCCCTTGCCCATTCCCAAGTACTCACCTTCTGTGTTGATTTTTCTCAGCTCCCTCCAGACCTCCTTGCTGGCTCCTATAATCCACCACTGATTCACTGTGCCCCCAAAGTGATGTCCCTGGTTGGAGTCTTCCAGCCAGAGGTGGTTAGAGTTTTCTTTCCCCTGCCTCTTCATGAGTGGCTAGTAAGGAGATGTTTCTAGTCTGCCTTCTTGCTCCAGAAATCCATCCTGTGTGTTTCTTTCCTCTCTCGGTGGTGTCATCTGCAGCATACAGTCTCTGATTTTGATGTTACCCAGTGTGTCTGTTTCTCTTCTGCTTCCTGCTTTGTCATGCCTGAAAGAGCAGCAATTGAACTAAGGTCACAGACCTGCTCTCATGTTTTTTTCTAAGCATTGTTGAGTTTTAGTTCTTACACTGAGGTCTGAAATCCATTTTGAGTTAATTTTTACATGTAGTATACAGTAAGGATCCCACTTCATTCTTTTGTATGTGGAGGTCCAATTCAGTGCCGTGCGTTGAGAAGGGTGTTCTTTCCCCACTGAAGGGCTTGGCATCATTTTAAAAATCAATTACCTGTAAATACAAGAGTTTATTTATGGACTTGCAATTTTATTTCATTGACCTGTGTCTGTCCTCACACCAGCACAATAGTGTCTTGATCACTGTAACTTTGTATTAAGCTTCAAACTCAGGAACTGTGCCCCCTCCAATTTTGTTCTGAGAGGTTCGGGAATTGTCCCTGCTCAGCTCATATTGCATTGCTTAGTAGTGACAAGGTAGGGATCTGGAATTCACTTCCCTGGCCCTCATGGTTGCAATAATGTTTGCCCTGAGAGGAGGCTTCTGAGCCATCAAGTTACTCAGCCTTCTGAATATCAGAAGGTGCACCCAGGAGATATCACTCAGGAATAGGAGGAGGCAGTGAGGGTTGGATTTGGGGCAGAAATCCTGAACCCCCCGGGGAGTAGCTTAGCCTGAACCTTCAGGGACCTTGGAGCATGGGTTGCAACTTAGAGGTGCTGCCCAGAGGAAGCTGGGCTCTCATACTCCTGCACCCACCAGTCATTGGTGAAGGGCTCAGGTGACATAGTTTTTGTGCCTTCCAGCAGCCCAAGGCAGGGCACTGAGGGGCCACACGTGGCCATCAGAGGGACAGGCACAGCAGGACCAGACAGATACAGGCATTGCAGAAGGCTTCTTGCCAGCAGCACTCTAAGCACCTTGGGGAGAAGGGGATCATGGTGGCACCTTTCAGGGTTCACCGCAGTCCAGCTCATGCACCACCAAGAGTCATGTTTTTTAGGTAATTTTGGAGCAGCTTCTCAGGCTTCTGGTGGACTTCTCACCTTAGGAAAATTTGGACATGGGGGATAAGTGACAGCCCTGCTGCAGTTACCTCCTCTGTCCTCTCGTACCCATCCCAGCCCCTCCCCACCTCCTGTCACACCACCATGGATCTTGGGATCTAAGCAGTCAGTTGTGCCTCCTGCCATGACTTACATCCTCACCCAGTGTGGTCGAGCCCCTGGTTGCTGTTACTATATGGTTTTGTTGATCACAGTCACCATCTGTCCCTCCGATCTGTAGGACCCATTCACCCACATAATGGACTTAGTGCCTGCTGACCAGCATCTCCCTCCCATTCCCCCACACCTGTAGCTCCGTAGGTCAGGCCCAGACATCACAGCTCTGCCAAGTGCCAAATATGTCTGTCTTGATGATGCTTCAGCAGCCACCAGTGGCCCCAGGTGGGATGGATGTGGGCCAAGTGTTAGCTTAGTGCTAGGCACCCCATTCCTCTGTGAGGATGTGACCACAAACACCAGGGGGCCCAGGTCACTGCTCTGACCTTTGCCATGAACTAGCCTGGGCCTTCCCTGCTTTAGTCGATGAGTTCACAGTCTAATAACAGAATTAGATGTAAAAACTAGCCCAGTAAATGTGACTTTGTGTTATAGTGGCTGACAGCCCTCTGCTCCACCCCAACTTGTTACAGTGTGTATGGATGCTATTGTCCCTTGCTGACCCTTAGGAGCCCCATGCTCTGCTGGCCATCACAGACACTCAGGGTCAGGGTGCCCTTCATGCCATCTAGCCTCACTGCCTCTTGGTGTGGTCACGCCAGGGGCCTCCGCCAATTATGACAGGCCCTGGCTCTTGCTACTCTGTCCTGCCATTGTCACCATGCCTCTCCTGCCACCCCTCACCAGTTCCTTATTCCCTTGCTGAAAGGAATGTCTTTCGTGCCCCAGAAGAACACTGACATTGGCTGGGAATGCTCGTGCTAGCTGCCTATTTCCCTGAGACTTTTGTCCCTTCTTAGCATCCTTCTGTGGATGATCTGGGATCCTCACCCAGCCCATAGTCTTTTTCAAGTTCCCAAGAGCTGTCCTATGGCATATCCAAGCCCACTTCAGGGGCTCTTGTCTGGGAGTCAGACTCCACACCAGGGTGGTAGGGCCTGCCATCAACAGACCCCTTTCACATCTGCACCCACCCCCTACTCACAGTCTTTGAGCCACTCCCAGGTCAGTACTCTTGGCTACTGCTGGACACAGCAGCCCGAAGCTCCTCCCTGACCTCGGCAGGGCCAGTGCTCCCAGCTGGGTCATGCGGCTATGTTTCAAAGCTGGATAGACCAGTGGAGGCAGGTGCTAAGGTGCAAGTGTGTCTTGCGAGATGTCTGCTGTGGTCACAGCCCCTGCGTGGTCCATTCATAGGAATGGATGCTGCTTTCTGAAGTAGGGAGAGGGGCCCTTCTGCAGGTTCAGTGAGCATAGTGGGCTGGGGTCAACATTTGTGTCCCTTCCCCAGCAGGGCCTTGGTGATATACAGGAGGCCTTCCCAGGCTGTGGATCCAGCCTTCTCTCAAGTTATGCTCATAGCTAGGCATGGCCTTCAGCATGGTCTGCCCTCAGCCACAGGAGATGGGGTCCTTCCACACTGCCATGCAGACTGACTCTCAGCCTGGGCCTGTTGTCTGCTCACACGCTGATGGTGAACCACAGCTTGGAATTGTTCTCCCCAGCACCAGAGCTGCAGTCGGGGCTTGCACATCCTCTTCCACCTGCACCTTCCTGACTCACCCTAGGGACAGTCTTAGGAATTTGGTCTAGCCACCTGCCTTGCACCTCCATCACCCCATGTGTCACCAATTCTGGGTTCCTGTGCATCTAGCTGAGAGCAGCCTGGGTCCAAAACCCTGTTCTGAGGGTATACCTCACAGAACTGCCCCGAGACCAGCCTGTGTGGGGCAGGCACCCTGAAACAGGCACTGAGTCAGAGATTAGTATACCGGGAACAAGGGAGGGGTTGAGTCCTGCTAGGCAAGTGGGGAGACAAGACAGGGATAGGAAAGGAGCCATGTGGGGTGGCTTCCTTTACAGCCCCACAGACATCACAGAGCACGTCCACTGCAGTGGGGGCTGGGCAGTGGCCCCTGGGAACCCTTGGTGGTTAGATGATGGTCCCAGGTGAGATCGTTCTGGAAGAAGTACTCCCAGGCACTTTGGCTGCCTGGCAGGTGTCGGGCAGTCCGTCCAGGAGGATAGCTGACCACAATGGGTTCCTGAGGGATGCTTAGAACCTGGATGGCATCCACAAGTGACACACATCTTTCTGTTCACAGGAGAATGAATATCTTCAGGACTGCCTTGATGCGATCCAGCAAGACTTTGTCATTTTTAATAGAGAAAAGTGAGTGTGTGTTGGGGGACTAGTGGTGGCAGAGAGGAGGGACTCTGCAGCCACATGGCCTCTATGTGGAGTGCCTGACTCCACTCTTTTTGGGCTGTGGGCAGCGGGATGTCCCTGTTCAGACCCCTGTGTAGGGCGGGGGCTTCCTGGGAAGATTTCAGCTCCAAATGGGGCCAGTGGCCAGAATCTCTGAGGGAGAAATGGGGCACTCAGCCCAGGTCAGGGCTGGGGGCTTCCTGGGTGGCACTGTCAAGAGCCTTAGCTCCCACCACTCTGGCATCCTCAGTCACTAACTTGCTTGTCAGGCCTTTCCTGAGTGCCAGGTACCAGGGACATAAAGGGAACATGTGGCCGGCAGGAAGGGGACAGGACAGAAGCAGCCAACAACACCTGCTGCTGCAGAGGCAGCTGATCAGGGGCTACAGGCAGGTGGACACTCCCTCTGCCCAGGTGTCACAGGGAGGGCCTCTTGCCAGGAAGGACGGTGTGTGGGAACTGGAGTGGACACAGCCCCCCACCCCAGGGTCAGAGGCCTGACTGAGGATCAGACTCAGCTGAGTCTTTGAAAACTTCTCCCCAATGTGCTGCCGGCAGCATAGTCAGGCCTCCTTTCACCTCCGGCTGGAAGAGACCACTGGCAACCAGCCTGGCCCAGAGTCAGGCAGGTGCTGGGGGCCACCCCCATACCACTGCCAGGCTCCCCGCTGTGCCCAGGAGTCCCAGAGTAGGGCTTCCCAGAGGCACTGCCTGGTGCCTGGCCCGACTGTGGGCACCTCACGGCTTGTCCCCCAAGGACACGTTTTGTGAGTCCTTCGGCGAGTCATGGGACCAGCAGCAAGAAGTGTCTGGGGCTGGTGGGCACCACTGAGCCCCAACCTGTGTCTCTGTCCCTAGGCTGAGGCGGAGCCAGGAGCTCACACAGGAGCCTCTTGAGTCTCTTCCTGGCCCTGCAACCAGGAATGCCATGGAGGCTGCGGAGGATAGCGAGGGGGAGCACTCTGTCCTGCCCACCTGTGGCTCCATCTGCCCCTCAGCTGGCAGCAGCTAGGCCTCCGGCCCAGAGCCTGCGGACAGTTACCTCTCAGATGGCTTTGGAGACTTGGGTCTGCCAGGGTAGGGAGCGACGGGCTGAGGTCTTGCAGCCACATCCCCTAGCAGTCCCAGACTGGCGGTACCCACAGTGCCCCAGCCATATTTTGTACCTTGGCTCATGGCAGTGCCCAGCGACAAGAAGCTGTGAGTGCCTGTCAAGAGCAAGAAAGGCCAGCACCACTTAGGTCCTGCAGGACCCAAAACAGAGTAGGGCCACAGCTGCCCACTCTGGCCTCTGAGGGCCCCCTCACTGTGGGCTGGCAGGTCATGTGAGGCCACATCTGGGCGGAGCCTGGGCCCCCTGGTCTCTCACAGGCTCAAGGCTGTATGCAACCTGGCCACTGCAGCCCTGCCACCAGCCACCCTGTGTACAAGCCTTTTTCCCAGAGCCACAGGATGGACAGATTCTGCTCCATTCTTGGCGGGAGGGCCATGGGTGGGAAGGTGAAGGATGTTTTCTAGCGATATAACTGTTGTGGCAATTTCTGCTGTTTCTGTATAGTTTTCACCTCTGAATCACATACAAGAGCTACTCTCTGCCACATGCTCTGTGCTTCTTCTTTGTCTGCCAGGCAGTTAGACTCCATACCTGCTACGGTACATGGAGTCTGGCCATGACTCAGGGCAGCCAGGGTAGGGGTGGCTGGGAACCACAAGGCTGCTGAGGCAGGGAAGGTACAGAAGGGTGCAGGGCAGGGCCTCACGTGGGACCCACAGTGCTGCTCATTGCTGTGAGTCTCCTGTCCCACAGGGGGATGGCTTGGCCCCCTCAGCTCAGGGCTCCAGACCTGCACTGGTTTGTTCTGGGGCTGGGGGTACTGTGTTGCTGCTCCTTCCCAGGACAACTTGTCATCGGGGTAGCGGGTCTGGACTATGCTATAAGCCCAGCTCTACCCCCGGCAAACATATCAGCCAGGCCATGAGCTGACCAGGGCAGAGGACCCAGCAGAGGACGTGGCAGGGCCACCGGCAGTGTATGCATGCAGCACCTGAGTCACCACCAGGAGGGCCCATGGCAGCCAGGGTCTCAGCAGAAACCCGGTGGTGACAGAGGCAGGAGCTTCATGTCCACTGATGGAATCTTGGGCACAGTGCACCTGCCCCTTCCCTGAGATGCTGTCAGGATGAGGGTGCCATCATTCCCTTCATTGCTTCTCCCCGTAGGGTGTGGGGTACACTGATGCAGTGGACATTAGCCTCAGGGTAGCCTGAGAAGCAGGTAGCTGGATGCCAGGAGGAGCCCTCTCAGGGCCGCCGCCTGGACCAACACAGATCATGAAAAGCCCATATTTTAGGACTGGCCAGTCTGTGGTTCCCAGAGAGCACGGTGGGAAGGGCACCTTGGTCTGGTCCCCAGTGAGAGCCAGTGCCTAGGCAGGGGCCAGGGAGCCAGGCAGTGTAAGGTGTGGGGCACACTGCTCTCGGGGCACAGATACCCCTCTGAGAACAGCCCCTTGCTGTGGCACCAAACTGGTACCATCTCTATGAGGAAAAGGCTGCAGCCAAGAGCAGTTCTAACTTCTAGAAGGTTCTGTGTCTGGGCCCTGCAGCTGCTGGGCAGACAGTCTGCCTCAGGTGGTGGTAGGGATGTGCCTCACAGGTCCATGTGCTCGTGGAGGCCATACTGTCCTTAACTTGCCAGGGGCATTCCAGACAGAATGCATGGCATCCTCCCCCTCCCACCTATCTGCTCCCTGCGGGCCCTCCTCACCTCTCAGCCCAGCCCAGCCCCGATCAGGAGGTGGACAGAGCTACCCTGCAGGACACATGGGGGGCAGGTGCTCATCCTTGTGGAAAGATGGGGTAAGGGTCTCTACGCACAGGCAGCTTCTAACCCATGTCTTTAATTGACACGATTCACATCAGACTCTGCTGACCGCCCCTGGGGCTGGGGGTGGCATGCACAGGTAGGCTCTGGCTGCGGTGCCCTCACTGTATAAAACTACTCTAGTAAACCTACAGAAATACATATTTGTAATAAAAGGAGAGCATCTTAGCTAAAGGATGGTGAAATTTCCCTGGAGAGGGTGACTATGGAAGCTCAGGTCTGGTCCTTGGTCCTTGGTCCTAGAGTCCCCACCTAGGGGGGAGCCAGGCTACAGGTGGGTCCCTGACTTCTCAGCACCTCTCTGGGGGCAGGATGGCCACCAACCATGATGTGCACTCTTGCTGGGCTTCTATGGGGCAGTGATTGGCGATGGGAGGAGGTGGCAGATGCCCAGCTGTCCCCTACGGTCTGTGACATGCCCAGGGACTCCGCATCCCTGGCCAGCACCAGGCCTTCTGCTAGCACCCAGGCCTGGGGCTGCAAGAGCTGTCCCTGCCACACCCAGCCTCTCCACCCTGGCAGTGAATCTCCTCAAACCTAGCCCTCTTTTAGAGGGGGTTCCTCATGGCAGGACCTGGGACCCCAAAAGGAGAGCTTGTGGGGGAGAGGAAGGCAAGGCTGAGCACCTTCCAAAGCAGCTACTGAGGAAAATGGGCAGAGGTGAGCAGCCCGCTGCCCGCCTGCAGCACTGCCCCTCCTGGAGTCCATCTAGGAGAGGGAGGTGATGTTGGAGTGCCCTCCGGGCGGCGCCATGATCTTCTGGGCTGTGCGCCTGGCGATGTGGTCATCCGCCTGCGACCCTGAGGAGAGGGCAGGGTGGGCAGGATGTCTCCTGCACAGGGAAAGGAGGCCCAACTGGACAGCCCCCTCCCGACTCACACCTGTGGGACCCTCAGACCTGTGGGGGCTGGTGCTCAAGCTCACCCTACAGGGAGCCAATCCTGTCCAGGCCAGGGTAGCTGCGTCCCCTGGTAGCCCCAGGGGCCAAGGCTGCCCCTGACTTCTAGGCAGTGCTGGGTGCTCAGGGTCTGGCCACTCCAAGTTCCCCAGTGAGCAGGGCCACTATCACCTCCCTGAACCCAGAGTAGGGGTATAGGACAAGAGATCATGGGGACCACATCCCCCTCCCCAAGTGCCCCAGGCACAGCTGGGACCCCTTATCTCCCTCATTCTCCACCTAGGGTTGGTGGGGCTGGGGGAGCTGGAACTGGCTTCCCACGTGATACTCAGGTCCCTGTAGTGGGACTCCTGGGCTCCTCTGGGCTCAGCATGGCAGCCCTTTAATGTCTTTAGTCCAGGTGGGGCTTGCCAGAGCAGCCCAGGGCAGGTGTAGGCCAGAAAGGAGCTTTCCCAGCTGGGCTCACAGCCCTCAGCTCCCCACCCCTCCACCACTGCCCTAGCCCCAGGCCAACTCACCAGACAGGCTGAACCCAGACTGGTGCAGGTTGCGCACGGCGGGGACCGAGACCTTGCCTGGGCAGGATGCTCGGGCCTGGGAGCCACTCCCTGGCTTGGCGGGCACCATCACCTCATGGACTGGCCCATCGTAGAGACCTCGGGGCACGCCGTGGATCTCTGCCAGCTGCAGGGCCGGGGCTGAGTGTGAGGGGCTTGGCTGGGACAGTGGGAGGCTCCAGGCTGTGCCCTTCTGGGCTGGGCTCAGGAATGTGAGGCCCCCACCCCATGCGCTCATATGCGCCTCATCCTCACTGCCCTCTACACACAGTGCACGCCAGCCTGTGGGCCCCCACATGGCCACACCTGTCTCTTCCTGTGCCCTACACATTCTCGCCCCACATAGGGTCCAAGCCAGGAGCCCTACTCGGGCAGGAACCCTGTCTCTCCCTGTGCCCTACACACTCTCGCCCTGATACTTCTGTCCCTGAGGAAGCCCCAGGACACAGGCCTGCCCCTCTTGAAATGGCCCCAAGGCCAGAGACACTTCCTGGGGGCCCCCGGCCTGGTAGCCCTGGACTGCCCAGCCCAGATGTGCTTGCTTCAAGGCATCTGCTCAGGACTCAGGGTTAGAGTCACAGTAGCGGGTCTGAGGTGCAGCCCTGAGCGGCTCTGACCAGATCCCGCCCTGGGTTGACAGTGGGCAGGGGAGGAGGGTGAGAAAGAGTGCATGTGGTTGAGAGCCTGGGCACTAAGCGAGGCCTCCGGTGGGTCTGCATGCACTGCCCTCCCCTTAGCGAGGAGCCCTAACCCTGTGACTTCACGGAGCTGCCCTGGTCTCCCTTAGTGCCCCCTCATCCCTCAGGGAGGGGGCATGGGCCCTTAGGGAGGGGGGTAGGACCTCTGGCCTCAGCGGGTCCTCCAGGCCTGGACCCCACCTCTGAGCCCCACTCTAACCTTGAGGGAGGAGAGGTGGGTTTCTCGGTCAGACCTCAGACCTAGGTGCCTAGCTGCCATGACACTCAGCAAGGTGTTGGGTGCAGTGCCCCTCTCCTGCCCAGGGGCCAGCTCGAGCCCTGCCTCCATCAAGGTCAGACAACTTCCTAGCAGAAACCCTGAAGCACAGTGCCAATAAGGCCATGTGCACAGTGACAGTGTGCTCACGTGCGTGCTTGTCTGCATGTGTACACACGCGTGTGCCTCACAAGGCATACCTGTGTTGTGAGTGTGTGGGGATTGTGTGTGGGCCACGTTGTGGGCATATGTGAGGCACCCAATGGCTCAGCAGACACTCCCGGCGTCCTCTCAGACACAATGGGCATGGGCTCACATGGCAGTAACCACAAGGACAGGAAGGAAGGGCAGGGAAGGGGCTCACAGCCTCCACTGAAAAGCCTCCCGCGTCCCTGGGCATGTCTCCTCAAGGGGAATCCTGGCAGGACCTGCACTAGAGTCTTAGTGGCAGTTTACATGGGGAAGTGGTCACAGGCATTTTTTATTTATTTTATATGCGTATTTCTGTAACAACTATGGGTTACTTGGGTAACACAGGGCGTTCAAGGTGAGTTTGAACTGACCATGGACCCTGGGTCCCAGTGCCCAAGAAGCAGCTTCCTTCCCCTCTTACCCTGGCAGGCCAGGTCTACTATGCTAACAGGGCCCCAGAAGCTACAGGCCCCACCCCGCCTTCCTAACCATGCAGGGGCTTGGGCCAGGCTTGCCAGGAAGCAAGGCCTCTTGACCATAGGGAGCTCCCTCACCCTAGTCCAAGAATTCCCCAGCCACCCACTGAGGCCCTGACTGGCTTACCCTGTTGCGAGCCTTTATCCTCTTGTAGACAAAGTCTGGGAAGGTCTTCCGGGGAATGAAGCGGCCAGTGCCTGGGGTGACAAACATGGTCCCATTCTCCAGCACCACTCGGCCCTGACTGATGACCACCACAGGTGCTCCTCGGCACTCCACCCCTTCGAAGATGTTGTACTCCACGTTCTGGGGAGAGAGGCCCACAGTCCAGCACCACCTGCTCTTAGCCTTCCAGCCCCTGTTCCTGTGCTGCCACCACACTCTGCAGCTGCCCAGTGTTCAGGGAGGCCGAGCACAAGGACACTTGTATGCTGTGCCGAGACCCCTATGCAGATGCGGTTGACTCGAAAGGGACTCAGGAAGGACTAGCCCCAGAACCTGTGAGCCCATCTCTAAATTGCAAGTTTAGGGGGGATGTGATGAAACAGGGAGGGCTGCTTTTCCCCTGACTGGGCAGGTGTGGGCAACCCTGCCTCAGTCTCCTCTCTGTGCTCCTGGACCGAGGACGCCACAGCCACACATCTCTTAGGAGACAGCAGAAATTAAATGGAGAGCTGGGGGTCACCCCAAGGATGGCCATGCCCCTGCTCCAGACCCATGAGAGATGCATGGGGGCTGCATGACAGGCCATGGTCTCCATCCCTGGCACTCCCCGGGAAGGTTGCCCTGGGCTTCCCAGCCCCCGTGACCAGGCCCTGATGCAGAACCAGACTGCTCTCACCAGACTATGGCTCTTGGCAGAGATGATCCTCGTGGCCTTGGGGTTCCATATGACAAGGTCAGCATCAGAGCCCACAGCCACTCGCCCCTTCCTTGGGTAAAAATTGAAGATTTTGGCAGCATTTGTGCTCGTCACTGCCACAAACTCATTCTCGTCCATCTTCCCTGAAGCCTGAGGAGAGAGAAGGCAGAGCTGAGGGTGGTGGCTTCCACATGGATGGTCACTAGGCTACTAGGCTGTCACACGGGTGGTCACCAGGCTACTAGGCTGCCACGTGGATGGTCACCAGGCCACTAAGCTGTCATGTGGGTAGTCACTATGGTGCCACCCAGACAGTAAAGAAGGAAGGGCCTCCAACTATGACCCTTGCCACGTCAATGTCCCACATGGCACAAATGCCTAGACAGGGGATTAGTCTACTGCCCATATGAGTCACAATCAGTCTTGGCCAAGGCTGCCCACGTTGCCCCTTCCTGTGGATAAGGCTTATTTCTGGGATTGCTTTGCATTTCTGGGTAAATGTTGATGCTTGAATACCAATGTCTATGTCCCCTGAGAGGCTGTGGCCATCTCACTGGGGAGCCTAGGAGGCCTGGGGAGGCAGTGGTGGCCAAGGTGCTCAGAGCTTTGGGGTGGTAGGCCTGAGGATGCTTGGTAGGCAAGTGAATGGGCAGTGGGAGGTGGGGTCCAAGGACACTCAGGCTTTCAGAAGACCGCTGACACCCCAGAGCCATTCTGTCGGGACAGGAGAGCCGCTCCCACTAACCCCGTGTGCAGATGCTGTCTCGCTGCACTGCTGGAGTCTGCAGGGAGCTCTGGACACAGGGCTGTGTCTGGCTAGAGCAGGACACCCAAGGCTGTGTGCTCCAACCTGTCCCATGGGCACTTGCTGGTTGGGGATCTTTCTAGTGGATGCCAGAGTTCCATGGACAACCCTTCCCAGTGGACTGTGCATTGTCCAGGTCTGTACTCACCACACATTTCTCCCAGACCACGGACATGCGCTCCTCCACACCGTTAGTGCCCTCAGGGATCAGCGTGAAGTTGTCTTTGCCGACGGCCTTCTGGGCAGTGGTAAAGGTGCAGTGGGCACTGCCGGTCACCTGGAGATCCCCACTGGAAACAAGCCAGGGTCAGAAGAGCACAGATGTCCTGGCCAGCACAGCCACAGGGATAGAGGGCGTCTGAGAGACCCACAGGGGTGGGTGCGGACCCAGACACACTCGCCCAGATGGGTGTGGGAGGGGCCCAGACTAGCATATAGGGGGACCAAGGGGATCAGACCCTACACCCCCCAGTGCTTGGGCTTCCCTGAAGATGCCCCTGTTTCTGTGGAAAAGGCAGGCATTGTGGGCCACCAGAGGGCTGCAGCCATAGCAAGTGTGGAGCATGCCGCCCGACCTGGGCCTCCTGTAGCACAGGCACACCTGGAGAGCAGGCAGGTGAGGTGGTCTGCCGTGCTGGGGTCAGGGCTGATGGGTGGTGATGTGACGAAGGCTGCAGCCTTTGCCCAGTTCTTGCTCCAGTAGTGTGAGCCGTCGGCACCCAGGCTGGCAGTGAGGGGCTCTCCAAACACGACCACCCCTGTGGTGCAAAGTCCATGAGAAGCACCCCACCACAGCCCACACACCTGCCACAGGGGCCCGGCTCTGTCACTGCCAACACCCCACTGCTCCAGGTTCCTTACCGTGGGTCTCGCTTGGGGTTGGGTTGGGTAGGAGAGTGACTTCTCAGTGGCAGGGTAAGGCCCTCTGGCTGAGTTCCTGTAACTCCACTGCCCAGGCCCCCCTGTCCAGCTCCACCAAAACAGCTAAGGGGGGGTTTTCTGTTTCAACCCTCAATGCAAGAAATAGACAAGTGCACACCCACCCCACATCATGGACCCCTGAGCCAGGGCTGGGTCCTGAAAACAAGTTCCCTTCATAAGGCCTGAAATCCAGGGCCTTCCTGGAGATGTCACCTCATTTACCCACCCCGGGGATCTGCACCCCAACCCAGGCCCTTCCAAGGGCTCCCTAGATCCTCTGACCTCAGGAACTTCTGTTTGGAGGACCTCTCCAGCCCAGTCCCTGCTGGCCATAGCTGAGCCCTGCCTGGCTATGCGCCCCACAGCAGATTCTAACTTCAGCCAGCTGGGTGCTCTGTGGGCAGGGAGCCCCCAGCCCCTGATACCAGCAGGGTGGGGCTGAGGTCTAGCTCAGACACACTCCCTATCACTCTCTCTTCCCTCCACAAACAGCATGCACAGCCCCAGGGTCCAGCCCTGGCCCCAACAGGGACTACATCTCCAGAGGCTGAACCAGCAGAGCCAACCTCCAAAAGGCCGGGCAGTCTGTGGGGTTCCTTGAACAAGGCCTGCCCCTCACACGTGGGCCCCAGAGCAGCCCTGTGCCCCAGGCAGTGCTCACCTCTGCGCTTGGCCTGGGCGATTGTGTCGGCTGCACCCCTGCTCATAACCTTGGTGACATACAGTGGGCAATTGGCCTGCTTGGCGATAGTGATGGCTCGGTACACAGCCTCGGCCTCCACCTACAGATGAGTGGGGACTTGGGGGCTCAGGCCACCAGAGAGGCAATGTGGGGAGCCAGTGGGGTGAGCATTCTAGCTTGGGGCTTGCTGTCAGGGATGGGCTGACCAGTGCAGTCTCAGGGCCTGACTCTACCTTCTGAGCCTCAGGCAAAGGCCTTGGGGTGACCAGGAGTGGGAGGGTTCCCCTCCCAAACAGCAGGCGCACAGGTGCCTGGTCCCCGGCCCCAGGGGCAGCTGGGCTGTGGTCTGCTCTGGGCATGCCGTGGCATGGTACTCTCAGCAGGACAGACCCTTACCTCCTCAGGGTGGCTGAGCACATGTCCCTCAGGGCCGGTGATGCCAAGTTCCAGCAACCGCTTTTGCTCCTGAAAAGACCAACCGGCAGGACATCTTGCTCCAGCCCAGAGCCAGGGTGTTGACCCCCAGTCTCCTTCTCCACAGACACTGTGGTTTGGGGTATTTTGATAAGAAGTGCAACGACTACGAAAAGCCTGGATCATGGCTCCAAAAGCCCCTGGGCTCCCTAACTCCCTACTGGTGGTTTGACCTCTGACCTGGGTGACTTGTTTCCTGCAGTACATCTCATATTCTTTCCCTCAGGTAGAATTAGGTGCTCACATGTGCCATCAGTGAGGGCTCCCTCCATCCCCCCACTCCCAGCCCACCCTGCAGGCAGCCCTGCCCCCACAGCACCTCCTCCACGATGTCCCCGTTCTCTGCGTGCACCTGGGCCACAGCCCCCAGGTCCCGGATGATGCTGAAGATCTCATACATCTGGGGAGAAAAGGGTGGGGCTCTGTGTGGCTGCCCTGCTCCTGCAGAGGCCGGGGCTCACCTGCCACCTTCACCCTGCAACAGCCCTCACCTGGCCATCGGTGCACTGGCACCTGTCCTTGTATGCCATGAAGACCAGGAAGGAGTTCACACCTGCAGAAGAAGCAGGAGGCTTGGCTCACCAGCCAGACAGCCCAGGGGCCTGGGCCCCTTGAGCACATCCCCCTTACCCTAGCAAGTGGGGGGACATGGACAGCGAGCTGCATCCTGGACCCCCAGCCTGCTCCTTGCCCTCTGGTTCAGGAACCGATCATTCACCCAGTGGGAGGTACAGGAGAGAACCACTCACACCTGTCTACCAGACCCCTACATGAGAAGGGAATCCTGCTCTCTATAGGAAACATGGCCAGGACTGGGGCCATGCAGGGTGACCTCACTTTGGCGATTCAGCACATCTGTCACCTTGGCTGTCACACCCAGCTCATGGTACACACGCATGGGACCTGAGGAGGGCCAAGCTCTGCTGCTCTTTGGGCAGCCTGAGTCCCTCTCCCTCCCTGGGACCCATAAGGGGGGGAACCCAGGCATGGAGGCAGCTGCCCACTCTTCCTCCCACCCACCCAGCCCCCACCCACCCTCCTTGCTGGGTCAAAAGTGCAAATGTGATGAGCTAAGGCACACTGTGGCATGTGAGCCATCACCGGGGCTGTGTTCCTGGGGCTGGTGGCGGGGATGTGGCCCCATCCTGTGACTCCGTGCATCAGGCACAGAAGCATGACAGTTACAATTGGTCACAACATCTGTCAAATCACTAGGAAACTCTGACATGGTTTTAGCATCAAGACTTTTTATGAGAAAAACAGTTAAATCTGTTTACAGGCTGGTTTGTTTCAGCACAGGCAACAACAGAGAAGTAGGAGGTTTAGAACGTTCTCCCTCTAAAAGCATCTTGAAACACTAAGAAACAAGTGGCTGCCTTGCCGTCACCCTCGTGGTCACTTCCCAGGGAGCAGGGGACACCTGCTGTCAGCCTGCCATCAGCCTGACTGCTGCGTCCTTTAGCAGAACAGTTACCGGATGTGTCCGTTGGACAGAGAAAGAGAAGCCCTCTCTGTCTAGACCATGGACACTGGAGTGACCTTTCAGTGGCTCCTGTCCAACCATTGCTTGATGCCCAGACACCTGCTACTGGGGTCAGAGTGCAGCAGGACATGGGGGTTGGGACGCTTCCTGCTCAGCAGCCAGCCGGGCATGGGGCCCAGGGCTTACCCTTGTCCCTGACCAAGGCCTCTATCTCCTCCTTGATGCTCTCGTGCCAGCGGGGGACGTCCACGTGCAGGGAGTAGTCACAGCAGGCCGCGCCGTCTGCACGCTCCCGCCACTGTTCATAAGCCGCCACCAGGCTTCCGCCCACATCGGGGAACACGTGGTCCACTGTGGGAGCAGCCTGGTCAGTAGGCCCCCTCACCCAGCCACTGGGACCCCACTAACTCTGAGGAGATTGGGTCTCGTGTTCCCAAGAACCCAGAGGGCTCATGCAGGGAGACACAGGGGAGGGCTCGGCCCAGGAGAGGAGCTGACTCTGCAGGAGCTGCTCCCCCTCCACTGTGCAGAGGGCTCTTCTGTCTGTCATCCCTAGACTCTCTCAGCAGAGATGGGGGAAGGGTGGAGAGATGAAAAGCTGCTACACTCCCTACGGATACCTCTGACCATGTCAGAGACTCTCCCCAGCAAAGCAAGAGGCATGCGCTGTCCCACGTGCTGGGCGCTGCCACTCAGGGCCACCCCAGCCCCATAACAGCAGGCACTGGGCTGCTTGCCTCCCCTAGCCCTAGACGGTGTCACCCACACTGCACACAACCATCATGTTGCCTCCCCACCAACCACATATCCACGGCTCATGGGTGCCCCAGGAAAGAGCTCACAGAGGTGAGCCCTGAGGGAAGGGTGGTGCCCAGCAGGGACACTGTCATCCAGCTCCCAGCCCACAGAGCTACCGTGCATCCTGTCACTCAGGTCATGAGCCAGGCCCCGAGGAAGTGGGTGCCCACTGCTCCCTGCAGCCACTCACAGTGTCACCCCGGGCCAGCAAGTAGAGAAAGGCAGACTGAGGGCAGCCTCATGCCTGTGGCATTTCACCATCCCCACGGGAACCCTCTCAGCTTGTCAGATGCCTCAGCTCTGGCACAAGGCAGGGGACACGGCAATGCAGATGTCCTGGCCTCAGTCTCTGGAGAGGTTCCTCAGTCTCTCTAGCCAGAATATGTGGTGGGCCTTTGAGGGTTTTCCTCCCTTTTGGTTGAGTAAGCCAAATAAAGCTGTGATTTTTGGCAACAGCTAAACGTACCAGAGTAACCAGAGTCCCCAGAGCTGCCCTCCTCCACACCAGGGTGTCAGCCACAGCATTTACTATGCAAACGAGCTCCCATAATCCTCACCAGCCTGTGACAATAGTCACCCTCCACTGCTGTACAGATCAGCAAAGCTAGAGCTGTCAAAGTAGGCTGAGTGGCCTGAAGTCACAGGTGAGAAAATAGTGGCCCCAGGTTCAGTGAAGCTTGTGAGACTAGTTCTCCACCACTGCACTGAGCTCAGCACTGAGGGAAGGGGCTGGGCTCTGGGGTCTTGTCCCAGCTCTCAAGCCTACTGCATACAAGTTCACGTGGGCAGAAGGCTTCATCTCATATCTCTGCTAAGCCCGGAGCGGTCTAAGGGAGCATGCAGGCTAATGGGCACCAGGAGGGAGAACAAGTGGATATACAGATGGCACCACAGGAATGGTGGTTCTGCTCATTGGCGACGGGACCACAGTGAGCATTACTTTTATCCTTTTTCTGTTCATTCATCCTCCATCCTAACGCTTCAGCACGTGAGTAGGAACCCTCTGCAAGTCCCTCAGCTTCAGAGGCCTGAGGCTCAGGGCCAACACATCTGATATTTCAGACCACACAGCTAACCCTCCCCTGATCTAAGGCATTTGGGTTTTCCAGACCCCAGCCCCTAGCCAGATACGGCTCCCCAGGAAATAACACACATCTGTTTGCTTCTTGGAAATACCAGAAGCATCCCAGAGCTGGCCAAGCCAAAGTGACCAGACAGAGAGGCAGGGACAGCCAAGGGCACTCAGGGTTTCTCACCCTAAGATGCAACAAGGGGCCAAGAGATACCACTGCCTGAAACCTCTTACATGCAAACCCAGCTAGAGGATGGTCACTGACTCCCTAGGGGACCCGACACTCACGTATCATTGTGGTTCCTCCAGCTAGTGCAGCCTTGGTGCCCTGACAGAAGTCATCAGCTGGGGTCATGCCCAAGACGGGCATCTGCAGCCTGGTGTGGACGTCGACCCCGCCTGGCAGGACCATCAGGCCATGGGCATCGATGGTCTTGATGCCCCCAGGGACGATGAGGTTTTCTCCAATTTGTCTGAAAGAAACAGGGGAGGTTTCACTAGTCATAAAGAGGCCACAGTGGAGCTGACCACTTACTGGGACCCACTAAGCAGCTCAGATGGCCAAAGTGGAAGATGCCTCCACAGGGGATGCGAGCCTTCTACTTCCTGCTAGAGTTCCCCCTGGCTGCCTTACTGACCAGTGTAGGTGCAGTCTGATAGGCAGAGAGGCCGGCAGTGTGGTCAGTGAGCTGTCACCAAACATCTACTACACTTTCTGCCTTTGACCTCATGACTAGTTGGTCGGACTTATCGCTAAAGCCTTGGGCTCTGCCGGAGGTACCCACATTCCTGTCTCCAGAGAACAAGGTTTGGAAAAGAAGAAAGTACATACATGAGTACACTACCTGGACGCCACGTAATCAACGCATACACATTTGATCTACAAATATATTTTTGGCAGAAACTCACTTTATCAAACCATCTTCCATGTACACATCAGCATAAAAGGACTGGTCGTCATTCACTATCTTTCCACCTTTGATCAGAAGACGGTCACTCTATTGGAAACAAAAAACTGATCATTTCTTTCCAAACTCAGTTATTCAGTGACATGCTCAGTGCAAATTCTTCCTCTGGAATTGCCATCAAAACATTCAGACGCAATATCTAGACAAAAAAGGGATCACAAAAGCCCAGAACTGGTACCTATACCCCAAGAACAGGCAGAGGGTGCTGGAAGACAGCTGCCACCCCACCCCGCAGTGCTGCAGCCGTGGCCCAGGCAGTCTAGCCTGGCTAAAGGCCCAGGGTGAACGGGGACACCAGAGAAAAGCCAATGGTAGTACAAATGTAGATTCAAATTTAGATTGGCTAAGAAAGCCCCAGCCATAGGGAAGAAATGAGGAAAGTCATACACCCTCCCATGCTGGCCTCCAATGCTCTGCCATCTGACACCCCCTCTTTAGCCACACTGAGCTTCCACCAGAACGCCACAGGCCTGTGATGGCACCAGGGGCAGACGTGGCCCCTGCCCCAGAGGTTGCATCCCAGTGTGGGAGACTGATGCAAGGGTACATGTGCACAGACCATCACAGTGATAGACGCAGAGAGCATAGAGGGTGCCACCATGGGGAGAGGCACAGAGGGGGCAAGTCTGAGTCTGAGGGTCTGAGCTGGGGGGAGGCAGCCAGGGTCCAGAGCAGCCTATGCAAAGGTCCTGAGGCAGGGATTGGCTTGAGTAGATCTCATCAGTCCCAAGAAAACACTGGGGATAGATTTCTCAGGAGTGGGGAATAAGAGTAGGGCAGAGCCTAGAGCTGGGCAGGGCACTGGCGAGTCACAGTCACGGGGCCATCTGCCATGGGGGGGCCTTATGCAGGTGTTAATCATGGCCTGATTGATGTTTTGAGGAGATCACCTTGGCTGCCATGTGGGAAGCAGACTGTATTGTTGAACAATGGAAACAGGGCCTTGGGTGGGTGATTCCTAAGGCTGTTCAGGTGAGATGAGGGGCCCTGGCCAGGATTTGGAAGGGGGTGTGAGGAAAGATGGATCAGAGAGGCTGGAATTGGCCAGCAGGACTGCTGATGAGAGGCCATGGGTGAAGGGCAGAGGAGAAGTCGGGTGACCACAGGTCCCAGTGCTGCATGGAGGCCGTCGGTCAGCCCAGTAGCACAGAGCTGTGGCATCAGACAGGGACTGACGCCAAACCTAGCAGCCAAAGATTCACTTCTAAGAATCCTACCAGATGGTCAGGAAGAACTGGGAGGAAAAAGGGGCGTTGGGAATGGGCTGTGCTTGGCGTCCAGGCGATGCCCTAGCTCAGTGGAAAGCCGGGGAGAGAAACAGCGCAGGCGCAAAGCCTGTGTGTCAGCGAGCAGACGTGGCAGGCCCCTCCCGCAATCCCACTGGGGTCTCAACACTCCCTCTATCCTTACAGGGAGGTTGGGCCACTTCCCCAGGGTACCCAGCACCCACCCCAAGGCAGCCAGGGCTGCAGCCAGGGCCCCCCAGCCCTCCATACACCGGATCGAGCCCCCTTGGAGAACGCAGGCTGTAGAGAGGATGGGGAGCTCCTTCCCCAGGAGCCTTCAACATTATTCACCATCCTCAGGGACCTACGGCTGGCTGGGCTGTGCGGTCGGCACTATACCGATTAAAGGGACAATTCTGCTCCATGATTTAAAATGGCCACACCAGCTCTCTACCTGTTTTTATAAAGCCTAGAGCAAAAAATGGCTTTTTAATTTTATATTAGTTTTAAAAAAATCAAAAGAAGAGTATTTTATGACTGGCAAAAATTATATGAATTCACATTGCAGTGACCACAGATCAAGTTTCATTGAAACACAGTTGTGCCTCCTAATGTGCTGTGGCCCAGGACTGCCTTCCTGGCAAGGCTGAGTGGTGACAACAGAAACAGTGGGACCCCAGAGCTGAAACTATTTACTGTCTGGCCCATCAAGGGAGAAGCCTGCTGACCTCTGGTCTCCAGTATCACTCACTCCCAGCTGTCCCCAAAGGCAGACCAGGGAGGCCACTGCATCCTGAAAACACCAGGCCAGTCTCGTTAAGCTGGCCTCAGCCCTGGCCCCTCACCACCACCCACTCCAGGCCCAGGCCACCTTCCCCCACGGGGCCTCCCTTAGCTCCCTCCTCCCTCCCACTGGACAACCTGTTCCCAAGGAAGCCCAAGGAAAACCCAGCCAGGACTTGTGGTTCCCGGCTATCCAGCCCCAATCCCGGCGCAGCCTTCAGGCCCTGCACTCAGAACTAAGACCCTCCTGGGTTTGGAGCCAGGAGGAAAATGTTCCTGGGATGTGATGCCATGCCATGCTCTCCCTACTCAGCTCATCCAGATGAAAGAAAAGTCTGGTAAACCACCTGGCCCACGTGGGCTGGTGGTCCTGCCACCCTCAACCCCATTCCAGGAGCCACCTTCCCAGCAGGACCCCCTACATCAGCCCATATCCTGATGGCCAGCGGTCAGCCTAGAGGCCACAGCTCCTCCTTTAAGGAGAGGGGAGGGGCTCTCTCCTCCTCCAGGACTCCTGCAAGGAGTGACCCCCAACAGCCCATCTGGGCTGAAGTGCCCGACCAGACTCCACGGCCCTCCTACTAAGGCCAAGTCCAGAGTCAGGTCTGAGGTCCCATGGACTCCCCCACCGAGGTCCAGCAGGCCTCAGGAGCCTCCTCCTCACCCCCCATCTCCTGGACGCCTGGGTGGGAGGCTTTGTTTCCTGACAGCTGAAGACCTCCCGCACCTCCTGCCCTCCCGCACTTGCATGTGGGTGTTGGGGTTTCTCTTCTCTCCAAGGCTGGGGCTGCCAGGTCAGTGATCAGTGCTCCCTCCCTTGAGTCCGAACCTCGGCTGGGTGGAGGGGCAGAGCACAGGGGCTTTGTCTCGGACAAAGAGCTCCAGACGCGGCCAGGGGCAGGCGGTCCACCGGCTGCACCGCGAACGCATCTGGCGTTTCAGAGCGCCCCAGGCCCGGCCAGGCGGGCCAACAAAGGGCCGTGTCCGCCCAGGGCAGAGCTCAGAAGCTGGACTCAGTGAGGAAGGGACGTCCGCGCTGTGGGGAGCAGGCCGCTCTCGCTCCGGGGGTTCAGGAGAGCAGAAGGGGCTCCCGGAAAGCCGACAGGGCCCAGGGCCTGTGCACCGGGCGCGGCGCTCGCAAACAGTCTCAGCCCCCGCGGCAGCGAAGGAGCCGGGCACCTGAGCGCCAGAGCCCCGGAAAGGGCTCGCTCAGGGCGGGCGGAAGGCAGAGGCCCGCACAGGCCAGGAGGGTCAGCCCCGCGTCCAGACCCCACCGCGGCGCGGGGCTGCGGCGCCGGACGAAGCGCGGGCCGGGAACCGGCTCACCGTGATGCGGGGGATGCTCTTCTTGCCCTGGAAGGACATCCTGGTCCTGTGGCCGGCGCCGCCGCCGGGATCTGTACGCGCGCCCTGAGGTCCCGTAGGCGGTGGCACGAGCGCGGGCGGGGGACGCGCAGGGCCGGGCCGCGTGCGTGGGGGCGCAGGGCGACCGAGTGCGAGCGAGCCGGCCCGTCCCGCGGCGCTCCGGGGCCGCCCCGCCCCCAGCCGAGCCCCGCCCCGCTCCCGCTCCTGGCCCCGCCCCCGCCCCGCCCCCGCCCTCAGGCGCTCCTCTTCCCCCGGGCGCCGCGGCCCAACCCAACCTGGTGACTTCAGTCCCTGTCTGCACCCCGGGGACCTGGGCGAAGGGGGTGGGGTGGAGGCGCGACCCTTCTCGACTGGTGTGTGTGCGGTGTTTGCACCCGAGAAGGCGGGGAGGAGAGGTCTAGCCAAGTCCTGCCAGGACCCTCTGCCTTGCCCCAGGCAAACGGCCAGGACCCCAAGGCCCGAGGACCCCGAGGCCTGAGATTCGACACTAATTCGAGATCCAGACCGCGGGGCTCTGGGAGCGGCCCCGTCTGGAAAGTGGTCCGAGCTGGGACCCGACCCAGGGGGCCAGGCGGTGGAGACGCCTTCCTGCGAGTCCGTTCCGCGTCCGGCCGCCCGAAACGGCGGAGGAGGGAGAGGGCAAATGGGAAAGACACAGAAATAGCGAGGTAGAGACACGCGGAGACCAAGACGGACCAGAGGCCCAGAACATGGGATGGAGGGCAGAGGAGAGAGGGGTCTGGGGGTGGTCCAGGACAGAGAAGTCCCAGGACGCTCAGGGAGAGGACGTCCGCCGGCGGGAAGAGGTCAGCCTCCAGCGTGATGACTTTCGTCTCGGGAGGCCCAGGCCGGCGCCCACTGTCCTGTGGCCACTACCTGCTGTGGGCCGCGGGCCTGGGCCTCTCTAGCCTGCCCTCGGGGACCTGTCGAAGCCTCGGAGCAGTCTCTGGGTCCCTCAGAGTCGCTGCGCGCCCCGAAGTAGGACTTATCAACCTGAGGGCCCGGGTGGCCTCCCAGCGCGTCCAGCAGCAGCGTCTTGTTCTCAAAGGCGTCCCCCACGCAGCGAAAGATGCAGCCGAGCTTGGGCCGGGTTGGAGGCCTCGCGGGCTCCTGAGGCTCCCGCGCAGTCATGACGGGAGTCGGGGACAGGCGGCCGAGTGTCTCCAGTCTCTTGCAGAAGGGTCTGCGCTTGACACTGGGCGGACCTGGTGGCCTCATCCTCTCCCCGCCCCCTGTCGCCACCTGCTGCTACCCAGCCCACTGCTTAGAGCTGCCGCTGTCCACGCAGTGGTGCTGAACACCGGGCCCGGCCCCCTGGCGCACATTTGGTCCCAGCCCAGCCAGAGGCTCGCGTGGGCTCTCGCCGAGCAAGGAGCTCTCACTGGAGAAACTATTATCTATAGCCACTCTGGCCACACTCCCAGCCCCTTCCCAGTGGTCCCACATCAGGCTGAAGACTTCTAAGCATGGGCAGAGGGAGAGGGACAGTCATGTGTATCCAGCGCGGAAGCTGCTCCTGACCACTCTCCTACCAGAGTTCCAGACAGGGCAGAGGACTCCACTCCACTAGGGGTCATGGGGCAATGCTGTCACTCTTCTAAGACTGAACTGGAATGAAGGGTCCCCCAGCCTCTGCACAGCAGCATTTCAAAGCCCAAATTCAGACCCTGCTGGTCACTGGTGACCTCACGTCCTGGTGGGGAAAAAGCTGCAAAGCTAAGTCCAGCAACTTTTCCACCCCAATGCCAAGTCTTATCTCTGTGTCCACACCCCCAAACTGATAATTAAAAGGTCTTTTACTCACTTGTGTGGAATCGTCTACAACAGACATTGCCAACTGTTCTTTTTCATGTACAGAAATTCTTTCCCTTTTCCAAATTGTTTGGATTCTTCCTCGTCCGGTTCACACTGGGTAAAGAGCTGGTGGCTGGCCTCAGCAGGTGCTGCCAGGAACCCCTGGTTACAGAGCGTGTCCTCCACACAACTTCAGGTGAGCTGGGAGGAGACCACAAGTGAGGTCCGCGCTTGCCCTCCACGTGGGGCAGAAGGCCCAGGCTCCCTTCCTGGAGGGGAAGAGGCTCCGTTACTCAGAGAACCAGCACAGAAAGAAGCACAGGCCTTTAACACCTCCGAGGGATCTCTGATCCTCTAAGATTTAAAACGCTTTTTATTAAAACTGTACAATAATTTACAAAGGAGTAAAAATTCTCTGATATATGTCATAGGAATCACAATACAAAAATACTTGTAAAATCTTGTAGTTGTCACCATACAAACCTATGTCAGGCCTTTGAATACTGGTTAGCATAGAATAGAACAGCACGTGTTTAGAACGTGGTTATTAAGGGCTTGCTTCAGGGAACACAAATACTGCCTGCATTTTGGCCGTGAGAAAACAGGTCCTATTAGTTTTTGCCTAAATTAACAGTAAAGCTTTTTAAAAAATATACAGTAAACAAATTTACGATTTGATACATATATTCACAATACAATTTTCCTGAGCCTAAACTTAAATCCATTACTGTGTTAAAACACACAACCCATTTAAGGTTTCAACGATGGGGTGTTGGGAAATGTTGATTAATGAATCAATGCCGCCAAACACGCGCTCGGCACACCTCCTTCCTGACTTTCAGCACTGGTGTTTGCAGCTGCGTAAGGCACTCGGGGTGTCCTGAAGGCTACAGCTTATGTGAGGGCAGAGACTTAAGTAACAGCCACAGTCCTTCAGCAACAAGGCAGAAGACAAAGGGATCTGCCGTTTACATGGACTTTCAGTTTAGACAAACTAAAACATTTATGTTCCGTGTGTGCACAGTGTAATGATGTTCACTGTGGATGTCAATGTGGGTGTCTTGATTACACAGTAAACACTTCTGCAATATTTCAGAGTCCTTCCCCTTTTCCATTGGGGTGATGCATTTACACACAGACTTCCCCTGTTCAAAGAGCTAGCAGTAAGTGAGCCCAAATACTTAGAGGACATTCAGCCTAAACTTTAGAAAATGCACCTTATTTTAAAACATTTGCATTCTTCACATGCTCATGCTCACTGGACCAACAAGAATTAGTGATGAATGTTCATATTTGTCTTTTCTTCTCTCTCTCTCTCTCTCTCTTTTTTTTTTTTTGGCTAAAACCCAGTTCTGAAGTGATGGATTTTTTTAATCACATGAAAAGAAGTATGCGTGACACATGAATGAAAACAATGATATTTGAAGAGAGGACTTGCCACTCCCCAATGTGTGCCTTTTGGGAACACTGCTGGGATGCAATGCAGGATGTTACTGAAACATTCACTGAGCCATTTCCCCTTCCTATGTACATGCTTTTTACATATAAACAATAGCAACTTCCTAAGCACTGGTACGTATTTACAAGCTTCTCTTTCCTGTATAGTTTGCCTTTTTTCCCTTATTAAAGAGTGTGATTAGGAGTGTCTAGGGTGGTGGGGGCATGGGAAGTACTCCATACATATATACAACGTGCAGAACCATGATGACCCAAATAAACATGATGGATGTGAATCTGGGTGCCTGTCAGTGCATATCTTCATATGGCAGATGGCTCCAGGGAGGTACATGTCAAGGCCCGGAGGAGGCTGGGCTGGCCAAGGCCAGGTGCAGTTACGCCTGTTTCTGGACGCCTGCCTTGAAGAGTCCATCAGATGTCAGCCCAGCGGTTCAGCCACAGCTCAGCACCAGCTTCTACCAACACAAGGCTAGTGTTTACCACTCAGTCTGAGCACAACAAACGTACCAAGAGGATACAGTCATTAAAATTAGACAAAACTGTGGGTGAAGGATTAAATGAGATTTCTGACTTGAGACACAAACCCCGAGGTCAGGCTCAGTGGAGACATCAACCTGGCCCAGTATATTGTCTGAGTGAAGCAGTAATGGTGGCCTGAATGACAACAGAAAGGGATGATCCTTGGACAAATGCAGGTGAGGAGTGCACTTGGCAGCAAAAGTCCACCCGCCAGAGAAGGCACGTCTGTCTGACCGAATCAGCTTCCCCGACCTCAACCCGGGGAGCCACGCTGATCTGCTGCCACTCCATCATCTGCACCAGAGCTGAACATTTCTTCTGACACCATATAAAACGAAGGTAATCCTTCCAGACAACATGGCTGTCCCTCCCCCGGCTGCAGAGCCCCTTCTTTCCACACAGTGATGTATGCCATGTTCACACCTGGCTGCACATCTCCCTGCCCACAGCAGTGATGTCAGGGGCCTTGAAGGAGCTCATGTCCATGCATTGCCTTCTCGCTGAGTGACCACACACGTGAACACAGGCTCTTCTCGAACATCCGGCCCTGAGAATCACTGCCTTTGACCTTCCAGGGTGTGAGGACACAGAAGACCCCTCTCCAACCAGTGAGTCAGGCCTTGTCCAAATGCTGAGGACCTTCTTGGCTGTGGCCAGGGTCAGCCGGCAGGAACAGAAACCACAATGTTTTCTCTCTGAAAAAAAGTGGAGACCAATGCATTTAGTGTGAGAGATCTGAGGCACTGCCAGGGATCGTGCAGACCCCGTACTGGGAGGCAACACTTGTGGGGGAAGGACCTGAGTCAGGTCCTGTCGTGGGTAGTCAGCATGCCAATTACAGTGGCCCTGCCCTCCTCTGTGGGTTCAGCACCAGTCACAGCCCCACACCTGGAGCCTCCAGCCTGGCAATGCAAGTGGCCCTCCCAGGGGATCGCATGCTCACAGATTAGTCCACGAAAATCTTTTTGCAGAAGCCTTAGATCTTCCTCTCAGTGGTTCTGCCCAGTTCTCCCTTCTCATTACTTACAAAGTGGCCTCTGCTATGTTCCACCTCTTTTCTTATTACTTTTTTTTTTGGAGATAGAGTCTCACTATGTCACCCTGGGTAGAGTACCAGCTCACAGCAACTTCAAACTCTTGGGCTTAAGTGATTCTCTTGCCTCAGCCTCTCAAGTAGCTGGAACTACTGGTGCCTGCCACAGTGCCTGGCTATTTTCTTTTTCTGTTGCAGTTGTCCATTGTGCAACTGACCCTTCCTTTCTGTTGTCATTGTTGCTTAGCTGGCCCGGGCTGGGTTTGAACCCGTCAGCAGTGGTGTATGTGGCCAATGCTGTAACCATTGTGCTATGGGTGCTGAGCCCTTATTACCTTTTAATTTTTTTTTTTTGAGACAGAGTCTCACTATGTCACCCTCAGTAGAGTGCTGTGGCATCACAGCTCACAGCAACCTCAAACTATTAGGCTTAAACGATTCTCTTGCCTCAGCCTCCCAAGTAGCTGGGTAATTTTAACATTTTTGAATGAGTTATAAAGGAGCTGCTTTTATAAGGAGGAGGGCCCTGGATCAGCTCATGACTGTGGGCACAGCAGCACCCCGGGTGGGCAGCAGAGCAGAACCACACGGCCACAGGTGGTGGGGACTCCACAGTTTCCTACTCCAGGACAGATCTGGAGATTTTCTTGGGTTTTTTTTTTTAACCTAACTTCTAAGTCAGAAGGTACCACCTCAAACAATGAAAAATAAATACAGTCTGAGTTCACATGCTTACTTCGCATCCTACACGTCACTGCTGAAATCCCGCTGCAACTAAAACAACACATTGTTTTTTCATATCTGATTCATTCCTCAGCAAGCTGTCATCTAGTCACTTGTCTCTAGAATGCTCTAGAATGATGAAGAAGGGGACTCACCAGTCTAGCCCTCTCCTTTTGTAGATGAAGAAGCTAGATGACTACGATTTCCAAGGTGACACCTGTGGGCTGACCACCCACCCCCAAACCCTTCCATGGACCCCAAGCCACTGTCTCTCTGAATTATGTGATCAACAGCCTGGGGCATGACATACACGCAAATATAGAACAGAAATCTTGTTGAAAATATTACGTAGAATTCTAAAACCTCACCAAGCAACAGCATTTGGTTACCTGTGGTTGTACCACTCCTCTCCTAAGCTGAGTGCTGGTCTGCTTTGCAAATTACCCTCATTGCCATTGCTCCCAGAATATATGGAAACCATCTGTGGCGGCCTGCTTGCAAGGGTGGCCCTTGGCTGGTGTCCAGGAATTTGGCTTTGAAATGTCCCCTGAGCGATAAGACTGTGCCTGCCCAGATTGTACGAACAATGGGATTTATGGCAAAC